GATAGGGTGGAGAGCGTATATGTACAATTCCATTAATGTTGCAGAAGTGCTTGAATGAATCTGCAGTGAATTGTGATCCATTATCGGTCACTAAAGTCTCAGGAACTCCAAAGCAACTAAACAGTTCGAATAACTTGCTGATCGTTTCACTGGCTGTACACGTTGCCATGGCATAGATTTGTGGCCATTTTGTGAGTGCATCCACTATGACGAGAAACATTCTTCCTCTTATTGGGCCAGCGAAATCGGCGTGCAGCCTCTCCCATGGACTATTAGGTTTTTCCCATTGTTGTGGTTCGCACTTCTTTGGATTTTTAGCTGCTTGCAGGCACGACGAGCAATTACGGCATTTGATTTCGATATCTTGATCCATTGTAGGCCAGTAAGCATAGCTTCGAGCCAACGCTTTCATCTTATTGATCCCGGGATGGCCGCTGTGGAATTGTTTCAGAACCCTGTGGCGTAATGTTTTTGGAACAACAATTCTGTCACCAAACATAATACATGAGTCGACCATCATGAGTGAGTCTCGCCGGCGGAAATATTGTAGCATCTCACTTTGGAAACGACGGTTCGGCCACCTGGTTAGGAGATAACCACTAACTTCTCTTAATGTCTTGTCGTTTATCGTAGCTTCTTTGATAGCTTTGAAAGTGACTGGTAAGCCATCGACTGCGTCTTCCAATACTCTATGTACTTCTGCTTCCGTCTCAATTGCTGCTACCAATGTATCTTCTTCATGTTTTACTCGCGAACCAATCAGTCTAGACAAAGCGTCTGCTTGTCCGAAATCAGTAGTGGGCTGGTACTTGATCTTAAAGTCATAACCTAAGAGTGTAGTTCCCCACCGTTGCAGTCTGCTTGCTGTGTATACCGGGATACCTTTCTTCGACCCAAAAATGGCTAACAATGGTTTATGGTCAGTTAGTAGGGTGAACTGGCGTCCAAATATCATCTTGTGAAACTTTTTTATGGCAAAGATAATCGACAATGCTTCCTTTTCGATCTGACTGTAGCTACGTTCTGCTGTAGTTAATGATCTAGCTGCATGCGATATGGCTTTTTCAGATCCGTCTGGCATGATATGAGAAATAACTGCTCCAATGCCATGGTTTGAAGCATCTGATGCTACTACAATGGGTAAGGATGGGTCATAATGGGTGAGCAGCAGATCCGAGACTAGTATTTTCTTGATTTCCCCGAAAGCAGCTTGACAATCGGCAGACCAATCCCACTTTACATTCTTCGCCAGAAGGTTATTTAAGGGGGCATGCAGGTGATGAAGGTTAGGAATAAAAGCTCCATAATGACTAACTAGTCCCAGAAAGGATCGTAGTGTAGGGACGTCCGTTGGTCTAGGCATAGTTTTCACTGCCTGAGTATTCTCTGGATCTGGTCTTCTGCCATCTTTGTCGATTATAAATCCGAGGTAGCTTACCTTTTTCATACAAAAGTTACATTTCTCTGCACGCAGTCGAAATCCATATTCGGCTATTCGCGACAGCACCTGGTCGAGCTTCTTTTCTAAGTCTATTTTATCTACTCCCATAATTATTATATCATCCAGATAGGCTGCAGCACCTGGAACATCCTGTAGCATAGTATCCATCACTTGCTGAAATATAGATGGGGCCGTCTTGACTCCAAAAGGTAGTCGATTGTACCTGAATAGGCCCTTGTGTGTGTTTATGGTGAGCAGATTTTTACATTCATCAGCAACCGGAATTTGTAAATAAGCTTCCGATAAATCTAACTTTGCAAAGAGCTTACCACCATTCAGCTTAGCAAAAAGATCTTCAGGTAGGGGTAGTGGATACTGATGAGTTTCTAGGGCTTCGTTTAGCCCGGTTGAGTAATCGGCACATAAACTGATGCTACCATTAGTCTTCTTTACTACCACTATAGGTGCAGCCCATTCTGAGAAATTCACTGGCTCAATGACACCCAATTTTTGAAGTCGTTCTATCTCTTGTTCAACCACTGGGAGGGCAGCATAGGGTACAGGTCTTTAAGGTCGAAAAATGGGAGTAACTGCAGGTTTTAAAGTTAGTACTGCTTTAGCCTTCGTGCATTCTCCTAATCCTTCTTTAAACACTTTGTGATGTCTTTGCAACACAGTATTTTTCTGGCTACTCTCTAAGGAGTTATCAGAAGTAACTCGTCTGCAGATGCTATTAATTGAATGTTCTGCTAGCTTGAGTGTTTCTATAAGATCTAGACCCAATAAGTCGAGTCCTGGGTTCTTCGTAAGGTATATGGTTGCATTTGCCGTAACCTCCCCTTTAGACACAATGCAAGGTATTTCCCCAACAATATTTAACTTTCCGCCGGATGCACTGTGTGCTAGTTGTGTTGTTCGATGCACTGTGGGGCGCCCAATCTTCCTCCAAGTTTCTGGGCTTATTAAAGTAATGTCAGAAGCTGTATCAAGCTGAAGTCGACTACGGTGTTTATTAATATTCAAGGTCACGTACTTTCTCTGGTGGCACCTTCGAGCTTTGTTATGCGATACCAATATTCTTTTTGTTAATGCCCCAGACCTGTATTTCTTGCAGTAATGTTTTGCAAAATGTCGTTTATAGTTTCTTTTCCTGCAGCTGGTTTCTATATGGCCCTTTCGATGACACTTACTACAACAATGATCTTTATACGGGCAAGACCTCTTACAGTGCCAGCCTCCACATGCCCAGCATGGAGATGATGGTTTGTCGCCGTCATTACGATAATTACATGTGCTGGAACCTTGCAAGGATTTTCTCTTGACTGCATTAACATTATAGGAACAGTTAACTTTTTCTACCATTGAGGTATCATGCTTCAAGTTCACTAACCTTTGGCACTCGGTAGTAACTTCTTGTAATGTTATGTTTGGGCACTGTTCGATTTTACTCAAAATTCTGGTTCTATTATCAGCATCATCGGAAGATTGGAGGCTACAAACGAATACGAGACATTTAAACTGGTCTTCTGTCATAGTTGATAATTTGAAACGTTCACATTCACGGTTTACTAAACCTGCGTGCTTCACCCAGTCATCCTCAGCTGCTTTTGTTATCTTCAGACATTGATAACGAATATTAAATAGGGACGACTGTTCAGCAAAAATTTGTGACAAAATCTCAATGGTTTCATCAAAAGTAAAATCTCTTGGGTTCTTTGGGAGAATGAAATTACTATAGCGTTCATGTTCAGCTGTGCCAAGTTTTCTTAAGAGTATTCTAACCTTTGCGGCGTCATCAAGTTTTCTGAGGTCGACCTTGAATAAATCTTCATATTTCTTGAACCAGGTTTCGAAAGTAATACCAGACGAACCATCAAAATTGAACTCATGGATAGAATTAATAATGTGGTCGACATTAGATTTGGCAGCATCATCTGTAGCACCAGATTGACTTAGGTTCAATTTCTGCGTTAAAGTCTCTATGATACGAACCTGGAACTGCTCAAATCGTTTCTCTTGACGCTCCAGCAAGGCTTCAATTTGTTCAAAGGAAAATGGCATCTTGATAAGCTAACCCCGTCGCCAATTTGTTATGTCTCGTAGGTTGAACGCTTTATTCGGATCCTAGCTATTCGGATAACCCCAGGCTAGCACTACTCAGCGACTTGAAAGACCAGTAAGAAGACACGATTAACAGAGAAATCACTTTACTACAAGGTTCAATTATGTACAGAAAAACAGGGGTTTTATAGTAGCTAAAAGACCTTGAGATCCCATAGTAACAGTATGTTAACAGCCAATCAGGACCTTGTTATTTTAGTAGCATTTTAGTAGCATAGCTTCTAACTAATCGCTGATTGGTTGGTCTCTTTATGAGCCTCTCTGGAGGCTCTGATAGAGTTTATTGTAAGCCGATCTAACACTATTGATGTCAACAGATATAAGTAGTATGTATCATCAATCGAAAGTAAAATACCTGGCAGTAGAAGGTTGAGAAGATCGAAGAAAAGAGGATGATTGGTGTGAAAACGAAAGAATAATGAAGTCTTACACGGTTGATTGACATTTTGCTAATGAAGTACTTACTTTAGGGATCTTAGATTTTACGAAGACGTTCTGTAGTTTTGTTATAACAATAAGAGATGCAGTCGCCAATTGTTATAAACGTAGAAGAGAGAGAGTGCTAGTTATAACTTTAGGGGTTTCTTGTTATAACTGTCCTTTTACTTTTTACACGTATGTGAGACGCTAATTTACCTTAGACGAATATCTACACTAGATTCCCACCCAGTGTCTATTCTACAGGACTTCAACCCAAACTCAGATCAAGAACACGAGATTAGCCTGACTATAACGTCAATATATTTCCACACACAAAGAACAGTCAATCAATAAGTGTCCATCAACAAGGAACAGTTAATAAATAATAATGATAGGGGAATATATATATGACACATATAACACCTGTCATTCTATCTAATGTCTGACTCATCAAGACAACCAATCATTGTCATCCTCGCCCACACATCAAATTGTCGCATATAAAATAAAATGGTAAATGCTGAGAAAAGTATCTTCTTACCTTCACTAGTTAATCGATGAATAGAAACTGGATTAGAGATGGTGATTTCTTCGAGGTAATAAAATTCTATTGATCAAGTTGTAATGTGACCATTGGCCAAAATGATTCAATATCCCTGAGAATTTGATTAAGTATAAGCTAGTTCGAAGCAATCAGCAGGAGGCCTTAGATCTAGATATTATTATTCTTCAATATTATATTTTTAATTTAATATAGAATTCTCGGCATTTTTCATCATGCCTACAATTTTGAGGGAACTGATGCTCCCCATGGTGGTTGGATGCACATCATTCACTGTCAAATCTAATGACTATTTAAGTGAAACCTATCACTGGATAATGGATGTTTTAGTCTACTGCCAGATCCCCGTGAAAGCCCGATCAAATATGATGAAACTTATCGATTATAAAAAAAGGAAATCTGACGACTCCATTAAACTGGATGCTATTTTACCTCTATGGAAGACAGACGACATGCTTAAGTAATTTGAGCAACTCCATTACCGAAACAAAATATCATGAAAGATCTTACCTGAGTTACAAGAAGTTCCATAACTGTAATGACTTTATTAGGTAATCCTTTACAAGTATACAAAGGATAGTTTTCGAAAACGACTCTTAAATGATTATCCAACTGAATCAACTGTTCATTGATGAGATGAATATAATTGAACTTTGCCCGTCTTTTGTTTATTGATTCATTGATCATTTTAGTTTTATTAATCCAACGATCAAATTTGTTTAAATAGTCATTCAAGGTTAGAATATGATGATCAATTTGAGTATTATTTGTATCCATGGAGGCATGGTCGAAAAGTCATGTCATTGATTCTCGCTTATGTGTTACATGTTGTCGCGGATTTCTAACGTCGTTTTTTGTCGGCTAATCACAGTATTTTTCCGTCACATGTTAATTTTTGTAATATTTATGCGTTTTACATGGCGTTTATTGCAGTCTATTGGTTGCCTGACGTATTTGGAGCTGACAACCTGTATGAATGTTTAGTCAGCCTAACTTGGTAATTTGTAACAACGCAAACTCAGGCAAGCGAAATTCATCGTTTATCAAGTCAAAAATACACCAAAATTACAGTTTCAAGCAAAAACAAGCTGTAGAATAATTTACATATGACTTACCTCCCTTATTATGGTAGTGACCCAAACAACCAATAAAGTGGAAATAAAAGCGAAAAAAGGGGGAATAAAGCGGACGAAAGCGTAAATAAAGGGGAAATGTCGCTTTTTCGCCTGCACGTGAGGGACAGATTTGTAAGCACACAACATGATTTTTATCCTTCATTCCTATTACAGATGGCCATGTTGACGCGTTTAATGAATGATGATCCTAAAACCTCCATGCAATATCTTCTGTCCTACATCATGGAACCTGAAGTCGCCATTAATTTCACGTTACTTGGTACTTCATCAAAACGAGCGATTCAGAAGTGCCGGTTTTATGGCTGCGTACGAAGTAAGATAAATAAGGTTTTTAAACTTCAGGTGCACTTACTAATCGATCCCTGTCGTCATCTGTCACTGAGAAAGACCTTGTGAAACTATATGACATGGCTACACAAAGTTATTTTCACGACATAAGAGACAAAGTACAGAAGAGTCATCGACGGAAGAAAGAACACGTACGTACGACTTTAAAGTGATTATTGTTTTCCCGTTATCTATAGGTAGAGTCTTCCGTGTTTAAGAATATAACCGTAAGTTCAGCTTCAAGTACCTTGTTGTGCAAAACAAGTTTCCTAGATATAGTAACGTTCTTCTTCATTACATTTTAGAATTCACAAGAATTATTTGAGTCTCCATAGTTCAAAAGGCCTGATGGAAAGAAACAATACGTGAAATATCTGGTCCGTGACAATTGCAATTACATCAGGAACATTGATGCTCTACCATCTGCCAAGTGCTCATGACGTTGTACAATAATAAGCTTTTTGTTTTCAATAAAAATTTGGAACTTATACCATATATTACGTACATTACATTATTCGTGTGCTGTGTTGTGGGAATGAAGGTGAACACAGGAGGCGGTTGGGGTAAATACAGAAGCGTTTTAAAAGTGAGCGCTTAATTACATTGGTGTGCATGTAGTAGAAAAGTAGACAATTCGTCGGATATTTAGGGTGCGAATCGGAAATTCGTCGAATATTTAAGGTAAAAGTCGGCAATTTAGCGACATTTGAAAAACAGAGCGACAGAAAGGGGAAATTTCGCTTTATTTCCCCTTTATTGGTTGTATGGGGATAAACGTGGGTGTTAGTAGTTGTTTATAAATTGTAATTGAGAGTCAAACTATTCATGAATCTTGTAATGGTAATAATAATCATTCCATGCGACGTTCCTAATGGAAGTTTGTTTTTCTATAGCAGGGCAACAAAGAGTAAACGCACTGGAAATAGAGGAAGAAGCCCTACGCGATCTGAACGAGCAGAACAATGAATAAAACTATTCTGTAGAAAGTTTCCCCTTTTGCACTCAACCGTGTCTTTCAATTTTAAAAATATATGTTGTACCAGTACATTGTGTTCTTACTTTGACGGCACTTACCGGTCCTCACTGTAGTGTTGTTGTTTCAGATCGCTCCTGCTTCAAAGTGGACGTCAATATATAACGTGCTACATTACGATATGAACTATTAATATACAGCCGTAAACAGTTTAATCCATGATAAGTATCATCGTTGTTAACTGGACTGATATGTTATTACGTAATGTGAGAAAAAAAATATGTTAGTAACAATTGGTGTTGATAGATTTTTCTGTCCGCTTTCTGAATTTATACAGAAATTGTGTAGAACATTACTGTAAGTGCCACATAAATTAGCCAAATACTCTTCTTAAGTAAAGCGATGCGTGTTTGTTATGAGCATGGTAACTAAAACATGTAGATAATACTATTTTACGATGTCTCGTATAGGGTTAAAATATAAATTTCTGCTAACGGAATCCGAAATCACTGACTAAATCATAAACAAAGTGTTAATGCATGTTGACGGGTAATCGCTAAATAGTGGTTACCAGTTATTTCATTATTGTATGTAAACAGTATTATGAACGGTGTAATTGGATTTTTCTCAAATTTCATATAACTAATTAAAGTTTGTGAGTCCCTTCGTTTGTTTGTTAATACCGAATAACTAGATGAAATTGTAGGAAGGTTAGAAAATGAAGAGCACTGTTTACAGCAAGTAAAACACTTACAGGTACATCCTATCAATTGCTATTTCATTTACTTATGGAACTTGATACTGATAACGAAGTTTAATCTTTTCTTTCACGATTGATTTGTTGTTTTTCAGAATTGCATTGAGCAAGCTATCCATACATTTTGTTATACAACTTATGACTTCTGTCAACTAATTGAAAGGCTCAAATCTTTGTAATAATCAAGTCTATGCAGGTGAACAACTCGGCGAATTTCTTAATATGGAAGTTTATGCGGAAAAACAATTCACACATTGACGATAACTGTGTTTTGTATTGACCACTACCGCGTTTATTCATCTAATACGTTATCTAAATACAATATAAATATAACAACTGTAGTTTTTCGCACTTTAAATCTTTACAGTATGTGTATAGTCTAGTTAGGTACTAATACTACTTTCATCATAGACGTTGTCCGATAACGGTAAATTTATCGTTTGATTGCCTAGTCTGTAAGATCTTACGTGAAAATCGCATCACTATCTACACTGACCCATCGTATCGCGACAAATAACAATACTTAGTACTTCTGAAGAACACATTTATGCTTGGGATAGAATAATATATTTAATGTGAATATAAATAAGTTAAACATAATGAGCGCGTCTGCAACACTGACTCATGCCATTCGATTGAATGAATATCTCCACGTTCACCACTTCCGACCTTCTCCAAGTGTTACATCCTTTTAGTTATTATATGCTTGATTCCGGAGACCATGTGATTAGGAAACAATGCCACTCCAATTATTCATCCGAATATACTGATCGTAAATAGGACTGCAGGAAGAGAAATGTTTGAGAAATGGCAGTCTTACCTAATTATTGATTTTTAAGTGATAATTGTCTACTTTTTTCTCCACCACCATGGCGGAGTGTTCACCATATTTTTCAACTATCTGTTGTTTATGAACTTTCTGGCTTCTTTGGATTCGTATATACTCTTCACTCCGTCTGGGTAATGATGTATTATAATGGAAGTTATGCGTGCTATTTAACTTCCATCGGCTGCATGGTCTAAGTATGTGATGAGCTAATTAGTTTATTTCGTAGTTGATTAAGCTTACCTGTAAGAGTTGGTCTTTTTACATATGTCAGTATTATATGACGTCAGGGATATCGACAAGCCATAAATGTTCGACAATTACACTCGCAAGTGCCTGCATCTAGTTCATAACACCACAAAACTGTATTTAAATCGCACGTCCTTTAGCAGTTTACTTTCGCCGTGAATGTTATGTGTACGGGTGGTTTGAAAAGGGATGGAATTATGCATCCATACTTTTTGGAACTCCTTAAACACACCATGGAATTCAATCCAGTTTCCAAAACGCCTGCTCAGTATTATGCGTTGAAACGCCTCACTTAAGTCGACCGAAATGTTTCTGGAACATAAATTACCACAAACATTACTCGTTAATTACTGAAAGAACAGCCATTTCATGCGATAATACTACAGTATCTGAAGAAAGGACTACAAGCATTTAGGAATTACGGGTTAATCGTCATGTCGTCTTAATTCTTGCAGAAAACAAGGATTTACACAAATTCATAGTATCTTTAACTGATAATTTATAATGAATACGCAGTTTTGCGGACCCCAACGAATTTTAAACAAGGAGAGTGAGGTTCAGTAGGGTAATTGGTATCCCAGGTCAAGTTACGTAGCAACAAAAGAGCCAAATTGTACACTACAAAACACAGTAAGCACAATAAACGCTTTTGGCATTGATTTTGTGAATTTGCTACAGCCAAAAAAGACGCGAATACAAGAAAACCTGATATTCGTGCAACCCAGAGACAACCAACCGACCCACAACAAATCAAATACGGAATGACCGCCTCGTGTCAGGCCGTTCAAGGTCGCAAAAAGGAAACGGCGGGCAGGTTTGACTTATTTACCTTGCCTCCATGGATATTATGGTATCACTTTTAAAGAATGGTTTAAACATATTCATTAACTGTTGTAAATCTTCATTTTCAGCTGTTGTTGAATAGACTATAGTGTTTCTTCTAGTTGCCTTGGCAATTAATGTTTCAATATTATCACCTGATGGAGGTGGTGAAGATGATAATGATGAGATGGATTGTTTGTTTGATGTTAGAGGATGTTGAAAATCGGTTAAATGAATTAACTTTGCAACCATATACTTAAATTCATTATTTGATTGATACCATCTATTTATTGATTTTTGAAAAATATCAAAACCAATAAAATTTGTATCAGTTAAATAGATGTGTAATTTTCGAATGGTCATCGTTGAATCATGTTAGTTTTCTCTAAATATAAAGAAATGAGAAAGGGACTTTTGTGGATATGATGGTAGTTTTAATAGTTAAGAGCATGAGTCAATTGAAGCTGGAACACCATGGAAAACCTGGAAGCACTGGACGGCCGTTTCGTTCTATTGTGGGACTCCACGGCAGTGCGCATCCACGATCCGACACGTGAGATTCGAACCCAGGACCTAGGAAGTCAGACATTAACACCATGGGATGCCGACTCAATGGTCTAGAGGTTAAGCGCTCGCACGCGAGACTAATAGGTTGTGGGTTCGAGTCCCTTAGGTGGGATCGTGAATATGCACTGTCGAAGAGTCAGATAATAGGACGAGACGACAGTCCTGTATTTCCAGGTTTTCCATGGTGGTCTATCTTCAATTGATCCATGATCTCAACGATAGAAATATATGACTCACTTTATGTTTACTTAACTTACGTAACTTTAGAGGATAATATTTCATCTTGTTGATCAATGTTCACATCGTCTTTGATAGGACATTGCTTTTCTTTTGTTTCTATCTTATCTGTAAACTATATTGGAAATTAGAATTCACAAATGAATTGAACTAAGAATTTGCTTTAAAGTAGAAACATTTTGTAGTTGTTTCACATTATGGAATGACTTTAGCTGGGTCATCGTTAAAACCAGAAGGCGTTGACGCAGTTGTTCCCTAACATTGAACCTACATGTTGGTTAATGAAATAACTGATGTTATTTTTCAAAAAGACATTCAAGTGTTTTGTATAGGTCACATTCATAGAAAAAGGAATTAGCCTGTAGTGTTGGTTGATATGTTAAGCTCATATACCTACCTTATTCTAGCTTCGGGGACAAGCCAATTTACCTATCTATCTTGAGTCATATTTTCACCTTGTTAATTATTCACTTGTTGACCCTGGCTATTTCTATATGAGCGTATATGTGTGTACATCTTCTTATCCTACTCATCACATATCTGTCATCTATTTTTATCTGACTATAAATATTGATTAACGTTTGGTCGAAGCGAGTTGGCTTACCCGCCATCTCCAATGTGCGTCATTCTTGCTTCATTATCTAGAGTTAGCTTACCCACCATCTACGATGTGAGTTATTCTCGCTTCGCTCTCTTCTATTCGCTTCATCCCTATGATTTCCTGTCCAGATCAATAAATGTACAAAGTATATGTATTCAAAATCCATTCCCGTATTTGACTTATTTAACTTCGTTATTCATCATGTATTACATACGAGGATAAACAGGATGTATATTCTGACAATAACCATTCATACGATCTAAGTTTTGAGTCAGATCCTATCCCCCCTCCATAAGCCTATCATTGTGTTTCTGAGTCATGTCACCAGTATGAGTAAGTTGGCTACCTTATAATTATAATTATAATTATAATTATAATTATTATTTATATTTTCAGTAAAAAACATATTTAATACTCAATTGTAACTACCTCAACATCAGATGTAATGACTTACCAGGATTCAATTCATAAAGAAATGACTGAAATGATAGCTGAAGATAAAGGAATCGTTTTTGAACAAACCAATTGATTTACATTTGAGAAATATTGTCAGTTACTAATATCATTCAAATTTTGCATCTTTTCTAAAGTGATGATGAACTTTAGACGAAATACTAAACACATTTTGGTGCTGTTAAGTTCTCCGATTTAGATGGTCTAAATTGTGACTTGCTTACTTGCGCCTGTTACTCCCAATGGAGCATAGGCCGCCAACCAGCATTCATCAACCCAACATTGTCCGGATATTCCATGTACCTATAAAAATTGTTGCTCTGGTTGTAAGGAGGTGCATCGGCCTCATGAGTTCCGAAGGAACTCTGTTTTCATTATGAGACGCTATAATTATTTTTTCAACTCCCATGGCAGACTTTGAATGTTTTGAATAATTTTTTCTGGTTAGCGTTTTCTTAGGGAGTTAGTTTTCTACTGGATGGGGTCGCTAACCCCATGCCCAACCCTCCTCCTTTATCCGGGGTTGGAACCGGCAGTGGCTCCCGTAGCAGCCACAGGCAGAGTTCTAAATTGTGAATCTTTCATTTTTGTTTTGAATAAAACGAAGCTCATATACCAGGAAAAAAGTCGCTCTGTCATATGTGGGAACCACGTCAGAAATCACCAGAAGGATTTCAAAACCTTTTCAGATCAATATGCTCCACAAACAATCACAATCACTTTATTCCATTTTATGCAGAACAAAAGACACAACAGTGAAAGAATACAAATACAACTTCAACTACAAATTAGATTAAACCAACCTACAGAAAATTTACTTGAACAAATTAGACTCCCCATTCACTTACGTACACATGAGTAAAAACGATCAGTGAAACGTCATGGTACTTTATCGTTGACCAACCGTGGAGATTAACTCAACTGTGAAAACCTCAAAATTGTCAATCGAGAGAATCTTCAAAATGATAGAGAACTTCTAGAGGCATGATGTTAAAGTCAGTCAACAGTGTAGATCTAATCAATTAATCTATACACTGATTAGCTACACTATAGAGATTTAATCAACCATGAGATCAAAAGGAATACAAGAAAGATAGGTGCGAAACACGAAGAAAAAAAATCACAAACAAGGTCATTTAAATGACGTAATTTAGTGCTTATGCAATAACTGAACAGCTGATTTCAAAATGACATAGGCTCTGATGGCAAAGTCCAGAACGACAACAAATCTCCTCTATTAAACTGTTTGGGTCGAAGAACTAAATAACACCAAAATCATCCACTTGAACTACAATTTTTTCCCATCATTACAAAACACATTGTTGAAATTCTTCATGGATCGGTTGAAGTTAGACATTAACACCGTTGGATGCCGGCCAGCTCAGCGGTCTAGATGTTAAGTACTCTGGAGCGAGACTGGTAGGTCCTGGGTTCGAATCTCGATGGGGCGGGATTAAGGGTGCACACTGCTGAGGAGTCCCACATAAAGGACGAAATGGCCGTCCAGTATTTCCAAGTTTCCATGGTAGTCTATCTTCAATTGACTCATGATTTCAACTATGGAATCTCTTTTTATCCTTACTTACATTCACTTTTTGTTCCGTTTTGTTTACAGATATAACACCTTTACGATGTTGTTGGTTCAATTTACTCACAAATTCAATACATATATGATTATAATTCCGTGTAATTTGACATGTTAGAAACATAGCTAAATCCCCAATACATTCAATACCTAAAATTGACTATAAAGGGAAAGGAAATCCAATTGTCTTATCTATCATACATTGAAATGTATTATATTATCCAATTGTCTTTGTGGATGATTCATTGTATATAACCATTGTTGACCAATGATAAAATGTTTAAATTCTGGTTTATCATTATCTAAGTGACATGAAGAACCAGACCAGAATAGTAAATGATCAAAATCATCTTTATCTAATTTACATCTTAATATTCTTTCAATTGCATAACCATTTTTATACATTGTATAGTTACAATAGTAAAAAGTATGTGTGAATAGGAGAATTGGTCAATAAATAGATAAATAAGAGGACTATTGTACTTTAAATCAAGTTCATCAATTGATTTAACCAATCAAAACATCATGGATACAATTAACATATCAGCTGATTGAATAAACATCATTTCTAGTCATCTGATTGGTTGTTGTGGGATTCTGTATATTTGAATCTAAATTCTTTAATTGAAATTAATCATAAAATGAAACTGTAATCTTAATATTATAGAAAAGATCAAAATCATAGATTTGTAGTGACCTACTTTTCTTGACGAGAACGCGATTGGTATAATGGAAACAATGAGTATTATAACCAATTGTTCTAGTGATTGTTTTACTGTACTCCCTTTTGTTTAACTGTATCAAAATCACTTTTCGTTCCGTTGTCCATCTTGTTCGTTTGAACTTTCTTACGCTCTGCTCTTTTTACCTGTACTGTTTGGCACGTCTCGGTATTATTTTGATACCACGAGATCGTACATAAATATACTTTATCTGAACCAATTACAGCCTTCTGGTTTTTGACTTATCGAAGGAACCAAGTCGTTTTTTGGCACGTAATCTTATTGTAGTGGCGATCATAGTTAATCGAGACTCGACGCCATCTACAGATTCATGGCAAAGTATTGTAAAATTACGTCTCACAATTTTTAATTCAAGTCGTGTTGCAAATTGAATTAATCGAACAAAATTATGGTTATTGCTTACTTACTTACGCTTGTATCTCCCAACGGAGCGTAGGCCGCCGACCATCATTCTCCAACCCACTCTGTCCTGGGCCCTCCTTTCTAATTCTATCCACCTGTTGTTCATTCTTCTCATGTATGTCTCCATTTTTCGGCGTAATGTGTTCTTTGGTCTTCCTCTTCTCCTTAGGCCTTCAGGATTCCATGTGAGGGCTTGTCTTGTGGCGAAACTGGGTGATTTCCTCAATGTGTGTCCTATCCACTTCCAGCACTTCTTCCTGACTTCTTCCTCCACTGGATTCTGTTTTGTTCTCTCCCACAGTAACTTGTTGCTGATAGTGTCTGGCTAAAATTATGATTATGTAAGTCGATAATCCAGTAAAACAATTTCGTGTCAGTCCTAACTAATATAGGCATGGAACAGTTATAGGAACTTTGTAATGTCCGTAATTTGCATTATGCTAATGATCTATCACTTAATAAGAAGACGTATGACAGCAATGATTTTACTAAAAATTATGAAGTAAGATTGTATTGTTTTGTTTTGGGATATGACAGTATTTGACTACAGAAGTTTACCTTAAGTCACAAAGACAGTAAATTTGGTATTATTACCAGTGCGAGAATAAAATGACCAACAGACCGAATCTACGAAAGAATAAGTTTTCATTAGATATTGACGAACAAAGAGCTACATTCTGGTGAAATTATTCTGTCCCTATATCATAATTTTCAGACCATGTCATAAAGAATTATGAAAAACAATTGGAAAGAGGTTAAAAAAGCAATAAATTCAAAATGACATATGCTGGGATTGTAAAGTTCGGAATGCGAAACGAAGCTCCGAATACATCTTACCATTGAATAGCACAGATAATTAAGTCACAAGCACACCAAGTGGATTCGAGCAGAAATGCTGGTGAGGGCTAGCGAGTGAATGCAAAGTCTAATTAAGAGTTGAATGAAGAATCGAATGAATCAATAACATTCAAGCACAATTATATGTGTGGTAAAGCGAATGATTCTTCCAGCGAATCTAGCAACTAACACTCAAGCTAGAAAGAGGGATGTAAAATGTGATCAAGCAAATATGTTCATACGGACACGATAATACTAATGTCAAGATCTTCACAATGTTATTATACTGTTAAATAAGTTATTTGAAAAGTTTAAAAAACTAAACAAGAACAAACTTAATTGTAGGAAATGTACTTTAGACTGATATAATGTGGAACAAATAAGCAGCAATCAATAGGGCTTCTCACTTTCGTCATTTCTTTTTATCCACCAGTTTGACTACATCACAGAGACCTCCATATCTCAGAACAAGCACGGAGTGCAGTAGACAGCTCAAGAAATGTCCAAGTGTTTCTCACATGGTTACATTGTATATTAATATGACTTACTTCAGTTATCGATTGTTCACTGAATAGAATTTTTTGTCTTTACTTTCACTGTGTCGTCCATTGTTCAGACATTTATCGGTTTAATTTTGCATAGGTGTATATGATCGGAAGTGTATTGCTAATAGCTGGATAACTCGTTTTATTTAAACTAAATACAATGTAAATAAGTATAGATATTGAAAGGACAAATGGTAGTACAATATTGCGAATTGAATGAAATTATAAATGTAAACTATTGGATGTCATCTCAGAAGTCTTAAGTGTGGTGTTTATGTGAAGCGATGATTCCTTTGTATTTGATGACTGCATAATTTCGAATTCTTAATACAATATATGCGTTCGTGTACATCTAATACTTTTTGATTAAATTGCATTATTTCTGGGATTCCTAGTTTCCACTATAATTCAAATACTTCTTGTTATCACAGGTGGCTCGTTCACACTCGACGATCAATCATATCCTACTTACAATACCACCTATCAAATTCATTTTAAGATGGGCTAACGACACTCCCTATTGCTTGTGTTAAAGCAGATAGACTGTGATTTTAGTCGACATCATAACTACAGATGTCAAAGTTGGCAAACAATTGAATGAAAGCTTAAGAATTTAAAAATCTTGCACAATGCACAATCGAATCCAGCATAGTAAATAAAAATCATTAGATGAGTCATAAGTGGTATATACGAAAAAACAATTCGTACAATGATGTTGAATGCCGTGGAGCTCAAACTCCCTTTCGCTCTACTGTATGTTTCTCCTTCTATGGATAGACTGCCATTACTTTTGTTATGATACCAGAGTAAGGTAAACAGAAGACAAACACAAGCTGAACGCTTTTCTTCTATTCCATTCAACCTAAATCCACTAAGTCATATATTTGTTATTATTTTCTACTTAATTATTCAGTAAGTACGGGTTCATGTACTTGGCTTTGATCAAAACGTAAGGCACATGAATTTCGAAAAATTGTTTTAATTAGCCACACTCATAAATATACATATTAGGATAGAAACGCAGAGCGTGGGTAGTTAAACGTGTATCAACATGACAACAATTGAGTAATGTGGAGGGCCATCACTTGAGCAACGTCGGGCATTTGCAAATTCGGAAGATGGGGGACATGTGCCTGAGTAAATTACTTTTGTCAACCATATTGGATTTCCATTTTTATGAACACAGGACTTTATTGAAAAATTGTTGAATATTAGTTAGAAGTTTATATCAATAGTTATCACTTCGGGCAATATTTTAAATGAAAACTTCTGAATAGAAATGTAAATTTTCATCTCGGCCAGAGATATACACTGAATAGGAAATCTAATTTCGCATTTTTATTTGACTACACAACTAACTAATGCATTTTTTATGATTGTATGCACAATATCTTTTCCAAATGTATATAGAATAGAGACTAATGGATTGAGGGGTTTCAACTTGTCGTCCTCATAAGAAGTGTTATTTGATTTGGAATACAGTGTTTGGTGTTTAAAGAATATCAGAATCATGTCTTTGTGACTTAAGTTTTAGTGGTTTGTTGCTCTAGCTGCAGTTTGATTTTACTTGATTCACTTTAGAGAATAATAGGATGAAATGCGTTGAGTACGGGAATGGGTTTTGGATACTTACATTTATTCACTCGTTCCGCCAGACAATAAGAGAAATGTAGCTGAGAAGAACCGGGGAAAGTAAACATATTAGCTCGCTATACTACTCGTTAAAAACGTTAATATAGCTCAAAACGGACAGTTGGTAGTGTGGCAAAGAGGCAGGCATTGTATAAAACAATGAGTGACAGACAAACACACAAGGCTCATAAGTGCGGAAATAGAACGACAAAAAGTAAGGAATCTATGTCAGCTGAAGCGCACATTTTCATATAAAAAGAACAGGGTTAACGTGAAAGTTAAAATAAATCAAAGTTAGGTGCTGTTTAAGGTACTAAAGTTCATTCAACAGCTTTCGTGAATCATGTAATTGTCAATTGGTACTACAAAGTACAATTTAAAACGCTTAGTCCGTGCTTTACTAGAGGAATGATGTTAACCTAAATATAGAATATAAGAATACTAAACCCAACACGTCTTCAACAGTTAAGTTGGTAAATTGGTAGTGCCATATTGTAGCTGAAAGAAACATGTGTGGGTTGTTAAGGTAAGGGATTCATCAAACTAAGTTTTTCGATGGATGTTTAAGATACAACTCTGATGTTGTCAGTTTTTATGGCCTTAATTAACTGGGCGTATGGATTTAAACACCAACGACATGTTCTAAACTACGATGCACACTATGCTTGGTGTACGCGCTTGTTATCTATTCGTGTTATCGTTTTTAACTTGATAAACTTGGATCTTTGGGCAAATATTCTATTTTATAGATTTTAGTGTTGGTTTTGTTCAGGATTTAAGAAACACATAAAATACATTATTATCTTGGTACAAATGAAATTGGTATTACGTTAACTCTTCCAATTTATTGTACTTTGCCTAGTTGTCTTTATTTATTTCTATATTCATACATCTGATAAGAAAACACTAAGGAATAGTGGTCAGTGCTATAAGTTCATTAAAAGAGGTTGAGGGTTTCAGATAAAGCCACATTAATATTTTTTAAGTACATCTGAGGATCATTTACTAGTAATTTCGGGTTTTTTGTGTGTCAGCATAGTCCTGTAGTCGACAATTAAATAATGACGTTTTGGATGGATAAGCATTCACTATGATCTCATCATTGCTGTTATTCTCTGTTCTTTCCGTCAAAATCCGTGAAATCTAAAAGTGTATCATTAAATAGCCGTAAGAAATGGATATGAAGTAAATGTAACCCGAAATCGGTATATTCATTGATTGACATTTGGTCATATGAATTAGAAATGAGAGATTAAGTGCATCTCATAGTTTTTCTGATATTCGAGTTGTCTTAAAGATGTAAATTTTGGTTTTCTTTAAAAAAGATGTTATTTTCCATGAGACTCTATTTGATCGATTAAAGTTGCTTATGTGGAGTTCCTGTTGGAATTTATTCGTCTCGAAAAAGAATTGAGGTCCGATTTTATATAGGTTATTCCTTGATGAATGTGTCATCGTACTACAAGAAAAAACAATAGACATAGTAATTTGTTGATCTATTTCTAGTAGTTAGTAATTGCAACGGAGATACATTTTAGATTTAAGACAGTGTAAATTAATCTGAAAATGGAGCCTATTTGCACTATTGGTTTGGAATCAGGGTTTTCCAACTCCCCTAGGTGGACACTCTACATCCACCAATCCGGTTAAAGCACCGGGCATCCGCTTTCCGTCCTCTCAATTTCGTAAACAACATCGGTGTCACGAGAAAGCAGTGAGTAGGACTTCTCTGGCAGAGGCTATATACGCGTGTGAGAGCATTTGGAGAGGGAGAGCGGACTCTCCACACTCTTGGCCGTACGAGGGCATTTGGGGCCTATGAATAAAAGTGCTTACAGTAGATTGTAAAGTTAAACCATAAATTTAGTAGCTTTAGCATGAGATTTACAGATAGTCGTAAAATCTCACTATGACGATTCCGTACAAATGAAGGTGTATGCACTCTTTATATTCCTTTATTCCTTAAGATTAAAATCGCTGCTAATGAGGTATGGCAACTTGGACCGATGCATAAATGTGCCTGATCCTACGTTGTAGCTGACTAACTGACTGACAAATAAAGGTTGGTCATGTACACCTGATTAGTTGGTTAATATAAATATTATTTGTACATTCATGTAAGAGTAAATCATTTAAAGTCTACAGACATTTGGACTTCGATGAATATTAAATTCAATCAAATTTGTGTAACTTAATTTTACTTTTAGATATATGGGATTTTGTCCACAATTTAAATATAGATATGGTCATACTTTTGGTAAAGAAACATCAGAAATAGCTAAAGTAACTTGTTTGTTTGTTTGAATGAACTTATTTTAAATTATATAGAATCTACCATATTATTTTGGGCCAAGAATTCAAGTGAGTATTATCTATTATCTCATAAATGATTGATTCCCCGTAGGGATCACATCATTTTTACCCTGTTACTAGGGAGAATAATAAATTTGATCCATTAAGAACTAAGTTTAATGATGATGTTCCTGGAAGAATGTTACCAAAATCAACAGGAGATAATAAATATACAGAAGGAATGGTACCAGGATATTCTGGTATGTATACACTATTCATACACTATTTCAATGATTATTATTTTTTAGGTAATATACCACAAATGAATTTTAAATTTGGTCGAACATATCGTAATCTATCTGATGAATGCGTTGATCAATTAGTTAAAGAATATAAATCTTCTGAGTTAAGACAAAACAGATTGAAAGAATCATCCAACTTGATGACTAATCTTCATCCTGTAACATATGATCCTTTAGTTAAGAATCATTTAAATATATGGACTGATGATATGGTTAAGAAGAATTCTGATGTTCATTCGTATATGAGTTCAACTGAACCACCTATTCCAGGTTATAAAGGTTTTATACCTCGTATGGATACAACAGAAAGTGGTTTAGCTAAACGTTTTCATGAAGCTGCTCAAAGTAGTTTAGAAACATTTAGAGCTGAATGAAAAATTCATTTTCATCATGTGGATATGCCGATGACTAGATTAGATACGTAAGTTGAAAAGATTTTATATACCGTTTGTGTAAAGAATAAAGGTAAACGTTAAGCCGTTTTGTTCTTATTATGAATTGATTCAATATAACAAAAGATGAAACTGTAAAGATGAGAAGTCAGAATAGTAGGAGGTTTCTTCCTGCCAGACATACAAAGAGTAGTTTGTATAGAAGGAACTTGTTTCTAACAATGGGAAAGTAATACGAACAACACTTCTCTAAATATTGAAATGAAATCAATATTTCCAGTGTGGGTTTATTGTAAAGACACAGAGAAAGGTTGAATTTTGTATAGTTACAGCTTTGGGTAACCTAAATATTTGGGTTAAGTAACTTTTATACGAAAACTAAATGTGTGATTTAAGATTCATCTTGTAACTCATTTCAGCAGTGGTTACAAATGACAGAAGAAAAGTTTGCATTATCTCTTATTAGATTAATGGAATTGATCTGTTCTTACTAGATATTTAGAAGTATGTCCGCCTGTAGCTACTCCAGGGGCTATTACGTGTCCCAAGTCCGGGTAAAGGAGGGGGGTTGGGCATGGGGTTAGCGACCCCAACCCGTAGAAAACCAACTCGCTAAAAAAACACTAACTAGAAGTAATGTCCAAAGATAATTTGCATCCGTTTTCTCATTATATTATCTAAATCAATCTTTTTGATTAAATTGACCAGTAGGTGGTTTTAATCATCATCAACATGGAATATCAAGATTCCTTGATGAGACTTCAACTTAAAGACTAAGTTATACTTAAGATTCCAGAAATAATGGTACTATATTTGTTTTAAAATACAGTCTTATAATGGTACACAATAACGTCACTTAGTATGTACATATCTCATATGTTACGGTATCAGTCACGTCCTCAAGATATAGTCATATAAAATTGTGCTCTGCGAACAATTTCATCACAATTAAATTTGAACATGTACCATAGATGTTAAATGATAACAAATAATCATATCAAGGGGAACCGTAAGACTTTGATGAAAGTAAATTAATCTCTTAATCTATAAATTAAGTCGATTGATAGCAACAAATAAGGTTCCAAAGAAGAGAACAAACAAGAATATGAAATGTTGAATGGAGAAAGAAATAGCACAATAGAAATGAATAATGAACTAAATGATTGAAAATACAGGGCATTTGTTTCTTTTTCCGAACAGAACAAATCATGTACTACTGTATGCAAACTGAAAACTACTGAATATTTATAAGTAGTATAGGTTTATGCACAAAATAAGAAGCATAAAAAGAAGTACAATAAATTGTTTCTTCAATTATAATCAATGTAAATATGAATATCCAGTAGTGCACGAACTCATGAATGGTATTCCTTTGAACTTGTGTAAACGATGAAAAAATTATCAACGATAGTTCTTGAGTATCAACAATACCAAATTACAACCTGCTTAACAAGTTAGTGATTGACTATGTGAAATCAGTAGGCCAATGAATAAAACTTGGAGTGATAAGTACAAAATTTGAGTGTCGGTATGAAAATAGATACAGCGATGCAGGTACATCTAGCACAGAAGTCTGAAATATGACAAAATGCGTCTCACGAATTCCACTTATGCCCATTTACCTTACAAACTATATCATTATGTTCTAAATACAATATCAGTTAAAATCCAGGACCAAATAGGATGCTGTTGGTAAAATATTTCTAGCTAGCACAAAATCAATGTTCAATGAACATTGATATTTATAGATTCTCTAACCAATTCTCTAACTTAAATCTACACAAAACCCCCTTCTAATAATGATCATATGCTCAGTAGTGACAGGTTCCAAGAGGTGTTTCTTGGAGTTCTAGTGATAAGCAGTAACCAGTGAAGTTCAAGCAGGTCTGTTGTGAGGTATCAACACACAAAAGACATTGATGAATGGTTGCTCAATTTCGTGGATTAGTTGAAGTTAGACATTAACACCGTTGGCTGCCGGCTGGCTTAGTGGTTTTTTTGTAATTTAAGTAGTTGAATATGATCATACCATTCCAGACTGATAATCTTCACATTGAAATTGTCATTTCTTATTTTTAGTTCATCACGTCCACATAGTTCAATACCATATACACCAAATAGTAATTATTATAGTGCAAGAATATTTCATCAAGAAGGTATGATCCCAGATTATGAAGGTCATATACATGGTAAGTGAACTACTCTTATTATTATTATTTAGATTAAAGTGATGTAATCTACTTGTTACTATGGAACTTTTTTGTTTTTATATAAGTAACCAAATGATCCAAGCATATTAGGTAACCATTTCAGTCAAGTAAACCTAAAATGGTGAAAAACACTTGTCAGTTCTCTTGCACATGTAGTGAACAAGAACACAACTGTGGGGACAATTGAATGTATTTAAGGAAAAAATTACAGACTATCCCACTAAATTCTGATTACCATACAATGGACAGTTAACTTGCAAAATAACCATCAATGGTCTCAATCTTTACTATTCCTTCTGTAAATATAAGTTCACCTTCTCTGATTTCATTGTTCATGCATTTTCCTACCAATTACGCTTCAGTTCAGTTCTTTCCTTATCGGTCTTCTGCCAAAATACATTCTATGTCTGACCATCACCATATACTACTCATATGGATATAAGTAATCCACATCACACGCTTGATATAACAAAATGACATAGAGAGATATTTCAGTTTCATCATGATAATTGATGATTATTTAGTCATTTAAATGTTCTGTTTTATATTTCATCTTATCAATCTTTATTTGTACCACAGTTATGTTTATTCATGGTTAAATTGTATGAATGAGTCTTGTTAAACTATATGAAATGTTCATTTAGTATTGTTTGTTTGAATCTTCCCATCGCACAAGCAAGTGGCTATCAGGACTCGGTGGCCGAGTGGATAACGCGATAGCGTTTGAAGCGAAAGGTTCTTGGTTTTAGTCTCAGAGTGAATATCAAGTCTGAGATGTAGGTACATCCAGCTGACGAGTCCCAAATAGAAGGAAACGCTTGTGCTGGATTTCACTGCTAGCCACTATCCATATTTGCTTATATGAAATGTTTCTTAAATGAATTAAGTAATAAAAATGATGATTTAAGTTTGTGAAGATTCAAACTGTAGTTTATGAGAGACAAAACTCTTTAATATCACATTCAATATTCATGTGGAGAATGATATTCGGCGGCCTATGCTGCATTGGGAGTAACAGGCGAATGTAAGTAAGTAGGTGAGTAATTGAGTACGTAAGTAAGTAAGTGAGTAAGTAAGTAAGTAGGTAAGTGAGTACCTAAGTACATAAGTAAGTAAGTGAGTAAGTAAGTACGCGCGTTAGTAGGTACGTAAGTGAGTACCTAAGTAAGTAAATGTATTTCACAAACATTGTTATCTATTGTCAATTGTATAAACTTATAGTCAGTTATGGAATCATGAAATGACTCCGTTTTATTGCAGTCATAATGGGGGAAAAAAACACCTTCAAAAACTGATTTTGTAGCCTATAAAATTATTATTTAAAAAACACTGGTAGGTCCTGGGTTCAAATCTCGCGAGTGCGGGATCGTGGATGTGCACTGCCACTAAAGTGTCCCACAAAAGGACGAAACGGCCGTAAAGTGCTTCCAGTTTTTTCATAGTGGTCTAGCTTCAATCGACTCATGATTTCAACTATGAAAAGTACAATTTTGTCAATTTTCCTTTTTTTATTTCTATTTTGTGAATAGGTTATCAATATCATGTTGGAAAGAATTTTGGTAATACAACACGTGATTTAGAAGTATGTGCTCATCCATATTCTTGTTATGGAGAATATTTAAAAATAAAAAATTTAACTAAAAAATATCTTTCATAGTAACAAAAACCAACGTAGGACCAGGCACATTTACACATCGGTCCAAGTTGCCATACCTCACTCATTAGCACAACCAGATGAACACCGAATTCATAGAAGTAGTAAACTTAGTGGTGGTAATCTATACAAAAGAAAGATTGTATATAAGGATATAGTATAGGAAGGAAGAAAGTAATGAAGCAATTTTAATCTTAAGGTTTAAGGGAAGTTAAAGAGTGTATAAACCTACGCCATTGTGATTGATTCTGAGCCATCTCATCTTATATTTCATGTTTGCTCTCTACATTAAATGTTGATTTTTATAACAATCTGATCATGCCTGTAAGCTGGTATGAATTCTGTAAATATTATTTTCAGAATATCTATTATTATTATGGTGATTAAAATGAGTTTCCATCTTAAGCTTTCCTCTTCCTATGCCATTTTCCTATGGTTTCATGGCATCAATTGCAGTTTTAACCTTTCTGTCAAACATATTTTCTGCTGTAGACAATTGGTTAGGGCTGATGCATTTAGAGTTATTCTGTATACCGAAAGAGAACCATCAATAAAAGTTTTTTTTATCTTCTCCTCTTTAACCTTTGGTAGTGCTCTCCAATGTGCCCTGAAATCTAAAAATCAAAATCATATATTCCGAAATATGAAGTTGACTATGAGACAGGAGAGTTGCAGATCATTCATAAAACCAAATTAAGTCTTTCGACAGGTGCAAACACATAGCTTCTTTTAATTTAAAAAATGTTGGAAATTTACTGTCAGATTTATGCGTATGCAAACAGTGTGTAATGACTATTACACTGTCAGGAAGCTAGCTGAATCATTGTCCTGTAAATTCCTTTGCATACCACATTCACAAATGTGTTTACAGGTTATTAACTCCCATATATATTTGGAAAATATGTGACGTTCTCCTGATTTTGAACACACGAATATATTCCAATACCATTCTGTCGCTTGAGGTGATCAGCTTCAATCAGTTATAATTTTCATTTATGCTGATCTGTATTAGCCTACATCGAAATTTCCCTCTTGTCATACAATTTATCGTCGATTTGAGGACTAAATTCTTTACATTCTAAGACCAACTACATACCATGGCAAATAAGCTTGCAGTGAACGGTGAATTAGTGTGCGAAACCAATTCATCATTCCGTTCAAAATTCTAGAGTGTCTTTAAAAATTATAGAAATTACACATTAAATACTTCACTTGTACATCATCTATCGGTTTTCATTTACATTCTTCATGAATTTGCCAAATGTGTTTGTATACCGATTGCACATCAGAATTATCACACTTGCTCAATATATTACAGCTGCATTGATTCACCTCATCATCATATCCGATTCAAATGAAGAATGACAAGATCATTCACAGAGTATCAAAGAACTAGTAGACAACAATCTGCAACCAACAGGGATAAGGCCTGACACATATAAAGAAGACGGTAGTCAGTAGTTGACTTTGGTAGATGTGACATCTCATTGACGAACTTGAAGATTGAATTTCGATCAGTCTTTTTGGTATATTTGCAAATTGTGTGATTTGCATTGACCTAAGCACTGGGACACTAGTTATTTACAATTGATGGATTGTAGCGGGCAGTGTAATCCAGGATTCGTTTTTCATCCTTTTTGAGGTTCGCCAAGCGAAAGCATCAACATCAGTATTGATTTCTACACCGAGACTAGAACCAAGTACCATCCACTTCATGTAGTTCATATTTATACATGAACTCGGGTTTGAGAAGTTAGTTCCAGAATGTTGATTGATCTGAGTAGATTGCAGTTAACATCGTGATTCACGGAAATCAGTTATCATTTTGACGAGTGACTGTCGTCTAACTGTTTTATTCACTATATCCCTCATACTATTCTCATTTCCATCACTAACTAGTCCGATTCTTATTGCAGGTAAACCATATTAGAACTCAAACATCAATTGATAGGCATTTAATTTCACACATTAAAATCGTTTACAGCATCGAAGTTTTCAACATAAACAAATAAGAGTTAGTTAATATTAACGGTGAATATTGTTAATGAAAGAAGAAATTTGTGATTGATTATTTAAACAGTAAATTAATTGGTACAACAATATGGGTAAATGAGAAATGAGTTAAGTTCAGCACATCACTCGCGAATTCAAATTCATTTATTTTCCATCATTACCTGGAATTCAAACAGAAACATGTGAATGATTAGTAATATGATAAATCATACAAGTGTACATTGGAAGTGAACAACTGGACAAAAGTAACACTGTTTAATGGATCTTGATCAACATGTATGTATTCATTTGATCAAACATGGTGCAGATCCCACTGGAGTAATGGATCAGAAAATCACCATGTTGTCGAGTGTCAACTGCAATCGCAAAACATTCATTCAAATCTACTTTTCCTTAGACTGTCTCTGAAATATCCATTTGAATAGACATTTCAATTCAAAAGCAACTGTGTATTAAATCTAGTGATCCGACGTGTAGTTGTACGTAACTGTAATTTGCGTATTTCAATTATCCAAACACACAATATGTCGTCTTCATACAACATACAACACATACTACATAGTATTGTCAGTAGATTTGATTCAATAGGTTACTTACTTATCGCTTTGCGTATTTCGAATAGATAAATATACTTAACTGAAATGTTGGAAAATAAAGTAAATCACCAAATGACTGAATGTTCATTTACTTCAATATCTATCTCATCATTAATGAGAAGACTAAGAAAATAAATCGGTGGTTATTTTCCGTTTATGTCACATATGGTGTTTGTATAGGCAATTGTTCAAAACGTTTTACTAGTTCAACAATGTTCATGTGAAAGTGATGTGTTGGCTGAATACGTGCATTTCGGTTGTCGGTTAGCCAAGCTTGTTCTATCGAATCGGTCTTCAACGTAAAACGCAACCTCACTATCTCAACTTTGATATTTGAATGTAGAACTATCCCAAATATGGTGGATGCGTTGACTAAGAATGTTCGATCTCGGATTAGTACCAACAAACTGTTCAATTTCATTTGAAGCTTCCGTGTCATTGTGATTACGTTCATTCATTAAACCATCAGGTTGAAGCTTCTGTAGACACTTCACATAGTATTACAGTTTGTGGATAACCATTGTTCAGTGAATTACATGTGGACATGACATAGTTATTCAATAAAACAATCAAAATATTCAAATATTTTATCTTACAGGATTCGATATCCAAATCATTATATCTAATGTATTTCAATTTAATCTGTCGATTAATTCGTATCACATCTGAAATACAAAATAAAATCGGTTAGGAAATCATCCATGAATATCGTTTATTTGAAGGAGTCATTCAACGTGTTTTGAGCATCAAAGTTATGAAAATCAGCATATATGAGGACAACATGGATGGTGGATAAATAACGGAGAGTCACTTTTTCTTTTTCGCCATTTCCCCATATCTCCACTCATTTGTCATAGTCATTGTGAATATTTAGTCCATGCTTTCACCTTTTATTCATTTGACGAGATTTGTTCTGTAACATGAATTAATTCCTTCATGAATATTAAATGTGTTAATATTCGTTTCCAATGGAAATGCAATCAGAGTTGATGCATGGTTTGTTGCATTTCTATATCCAATTATTTTACCTTGTCACAAACAGAACATGGTCGGTTCTGTGATTTTATGATTGAGGAAACACAAGTTCAGTGTACCTAAGGAAAACAATTAGATATCCTGGAAAACACATTTGAAGATTAGTGGAAAGTATTGGTGAGCATGAATTACAGTAAAGAATGTCAGGTTATATCTGTCATATTCATTAGTATCAATCGAGTGATAATTAAATTAAATTTACCTTTTGAACATTTTGGTATCAGCTTTTTACATTTTGTGAGTTCGCTCTCAGATGTCGTATCTAATTCGTTGACAGAAGAAATAATAATAAAAGACAAATCACTTCACTAGTAGCATATTCAGTCTGATTAGAAACCATATTGATCTGGAGTAAATAAATAGTGATCAGAGATGTATGGTGACTGATGTAGGAGAAATAGGCTTCTTAACTGAATACCACTGTATCCTGGAATTGATATTCATTTCGAGATTCTGCTAGCTACCGTCCATCACTTCTAGAAACACTTGTGACTTAGTGACAATATCGAAGTGAAAGCATATCTGTCAAAACAGACTGATTAGTTGTAGTCTCGTACATCGATAGGAAAATTCAGAAAGCGGGTACACACAAACTGAATAAATTCTTAACTTAAAAGCAATCTGGCAAACGCGTTGGAAATTTAGGATGCCCTACCAAAACTTCGGCTATTTAAGTCGACGTGATGTACCCATACTGTATAAAACCTACATACATTTCGGCAAACATTTAAGGAGAGGTGATAATGGTCAAGATTTTCCTGTGATTTCAGATAAACTCTCGATGTTAATTGAACACTAGAATTTGCATACTGCAATTAGCAACGACGACATGGAAATAAAAAGATATGAAGTAAATGTTGGGGTAAACTGTAGGTGAAATTGATTCTCTTTCATTATAATCACATAAACGACGTTTATACAGCAATACAGTTTAAATGTTTATCACAAAAACACTACTTGTTGTGAGCTAGACGAACATCCTGGTATGCTCGATAGAGGCAAGTGAGGCTGTGAATGAATCTTGAAAATCACATCTAGAGAACTACTAACCCGCACTCATTTATACAATGTCCCCGTCTGTAAAGTATTAAACAGCTGTGGTTATTGATAGGCTAATAACATGGATTAGATCAGATGAAAATAAAAGAAGTCGTTATTATTTGAGATGGATAAGAATAACTTGCGTGTAATTCATTATTTTGACTTACTTTTATAGCGTTCAGCTTTTTCTATAAAAGGTGCTTCCAAATCCGATGGGTCGTAATTAACATCCGCTGTATAGAATTAGAGAAGTTGAAGAAATAACAAACTTTAACATAGCACGGGACTACAACATTTGAATTCGTAATAATAAGGTTT